GGGGGCGGGGCTCCCAGTCTGGGTTCGGCTGCCGGCGCCATTCGGGACGTTCTCAGAGAGAGGTGAAATGAAACCCAGAAAACTTGGGATGGAATGAAGACCCTTCACTTCCCCAAAGACTCTTCCAACACTTCCACCTTTAGCTGCGGCCCAGGTTGCTATTTTATTATTATTTAAAAATCACCTCAAACTCCCCTGTCTATAAATCTTTATGTAAATATAAACTACTAAAATTAATTACTGGGGAAAACACTATTATCAACATTAGCTTTGATTACCCAGGTGTAGTAAGATACCCACAAAATGGATTCCACTTCTAAGACTCCGAGGCCATACTTAGAATAAGCTCTGGCATGCCTAATTCTTTCTCAGCTTAAAAGCAAACTTACTTGCTGTTTCCGGTCTCTGTAGCCTCGTATAAATGACTGTATAATTATTGCATTTTTCAATCTTCGTCTTTCCTCCTGCATAATGGAAGGAGGGAGGTACAATGGGTCATAGTGAAATGACATTTAGCTAGCAAAGACTTAAGAAAAAACAATTATAGAATTTACATACCACAAAATTCACTTTTAAGTGTACCATTCACCAATTTTAAAAATATTCAAAATTCAAGTATCACCATGATCTAATTTTAGAATACTTTCATCACCCACTCCAAAACCCCCTGTACCCATTAGCACTCATTCCTCAACCCCTGCCCTGGCTCCCCCATCCCCGGCAACCACGAATCAAATTTGTCTGTGTGGGAATGCCTATTCTGGACGTGTCTTATAATGGAATCATATAGTATGTGGCCTTTTCTGTCTGACTTTTTTCACTTGGCACAATATTTTCAAGGTTCATCCATGCTGTATCACGTATCAATACTATACTTTTTTTTTAAAGTTTTTTTAAATTTATTCATTTGAGAGAGAATGAGAGAGAGAGAGAGAGCGAGCCCACGCGCACATGAGAGGGGGGAGGGTCAGAGGGAGAAGCAGACTCCCCGCCGAGCAGGGAGCCCGATGCGGGACTCGATCCCAGGACTCCAGGATCATGACCTGAGCCGAAGGCAGTCGCTTAACCAACTGAGCCACCCAGCCCCAATACTATAATACTTTTAATGGCCAATTAATATTTCACCATATGGATGTCTCACATTTTGTTTATCCATTTACTACCTGATAGACATTTGGGCTGTTTCCACTTTGGGCTATTATGAATAATACTGCTGTGGACATTCACATAAAAGTATTGTGTGGACACAGGTTTTCATTTCTCTTGGGTGTACGCCTAGGAGTGGAATTAACATTTGAGGAACTGCCAGACTGTTTTCCAAAATGGCTACACCATTTCACAATCCCACCAGCATAGTAAGACTTATAATAACAATTTTAGTTTTAAGTATAGAAAGAATACAGACAACCCAAACATCGATTTTAAAAGCCACTTTTCTTATCTCAAAGCAGAAAATTCCAGTTTTGATTAAGGCTGTCTTTAAAATTTTCAGTGACCTAGCAAAAATATTCATTCTTCACATCACCGTAACCAATGCAGCTCCCACTGTTTGAAAGCCTACTATGTGTGAGCCCTAAGAGAGACACTGCACAATCATCTTAGACAACTACTATTCCCCGTTTTATGATGCAGAAGCTGAAATTTCCATGAAAATAAAGTGATGCTGGAAGACGTAAGAGAGTCAGAATTCAAAGCCAAGTGTGACACTAAAACCTGTACTCATCCTACCACATGACATTGTTTTATGTCTTCTATGAATGCCACCTGCCAGGCTTGAAATACACATGTGCACACACACAATCCTAGGATGGCAGAACACCAATCAGGTCACCCAAGTGTACTTCCTGAGCTTCAAGTGGTTACAGCAAAGGAACCCCTGAGCTTAAACCTAGTTTGGGAATCTATTCATTACTACGATGATTCTAAGAGCCCTTCATTAAAAACCCATATATGGTCCCATCAGTTTTCAAAACGTTTATTTTTATTCATTCAGTTGTTCACTAAGGAGGAAGTTTTGGTAGCATTCTAGCCTTTTGGCTGGGACAGGGACCTTTAGAGTCCCAAAACTGGAGTTTAAACATTATCTTTAATAACCCATAATCATGTTTGTGAAATTAAAAGACAAGAGAACTGGGAAATAAATGAAACAATCAAAGAAAATTCTAGAATTGAAATAAAATCTGAAATTCAGCATTCAATAGATATATGTAACAATTAGACACTGGTAAAGAGATAATCTGTAAATTAGAAGTTAGGTCAGAAGAAAATATCCAAACCAAAGTAGAAATATTCAAAAGGATAAATATACAGAAGAGTATAGGAGACATATATGACACAACGCAAAGGTCAAATATGTACGTAATTTGAGTCCAAGAAGAAGAGGAGAGGAAGAATGGAGCAGAAACACTACTCAAGATATGAAGGCTGAGAATTTTCCAGAAAAGATGAAAAGACATCAACCAATAAATATTTCTCATTTGAGCAGTCATTTTCAACTGACAGCAATTTTACCACCCAGGGGACCTTTGGTAATTTCTGGAGACATTCTTGGTTATCTCACCTGGAGGGAGGGAGTACTGTGGCATCTAGTGGGTAGAGTAGAGGCCATGGATGCTGCTAAACACCCTTCAATGTACAGGATAAGCCCCCACAACAAGGAATTATCTGGTCCAAAATGTCAACAGAGCTGAGGTTGAGAAACCCCGCCTAAAACACTTTGTATTTGCTGTTTCCTCCACCAAGAATGCTCTTCCTCCAGCTTTCCATAAGGCAGCTTCTTTTTCATCCTCAGTTATCAGCTCAACTCTAACCAGCTCAGACAGTCCTTCCCTGAACACCCTTCCCCATCACTATCACCTTACTCCACTGCCTTCATGGCACTTATCACTGGCTCACATCTGTGCTCTAGAACCCAGCAAGAACATTACCCATCTTATTCATTATCCATATACCCAGCAAGCAGCACAGTACCTGGAATATATCAAGCTCTCAATTAATATTTGTTAAAGGAACGAATGAATTATTAGAAAATAAAACAAAACAAAAATCTGGAAAAGTAGGCCATAAAATACCATAATTGCTGATTAATCAACAAAATAAAGCCATTTTGAGAAATTGTCACCAGAGAGGTGAAATGTAAAATAAAGAATATATTAAAACAAAAATAAATAAATAAAATAAAGAATAAAACAACAACTGTCACTAGCTCCATTCGTTTATTTATCTTCTTCACAAATAGTTAAGAAATTTGCCTTAACAGTGAGTTTTCTTCTTTTGCTTGGCAAAACATGAACATGATACACTAAGTCTGTCTAGATCTTCTGGAAACCATTATCATAAGCAAGCAAGTGAACTTTATAAAACCCTGCCCCCCCCCTTTCTGGAAACTGCCCTTTTAGTCCATCTTTTTCCACACTGGTTCCAGAATAAATTACTTATTATAAAATCCAAAAAATCCAGAAGTGCTTCTAAAGTTTAATATATATATAGATATGTTATGTCACATATAACATACATATATCTACACACCTGTATGACAGTAAAGCCAAGACTTATTTAAATGCTATGGAAAAATGCTTATTTAAAGAGACTATTACGAAACTGTTTTTACCTCTCTCTTTCTTCTTTCTTCCTGAGTACGATGTAAAAGAGAAGCCTTTTCTTCCTAAACACAAAAAGAGAAAAGATAAAGGCTAATTTCAAATTCTAAAATGCTCTCAAACAAAAATTATACAATGTCTTAACCAAAAAAGGATTCTAAAGATCATACAAACATTCTGACTTAATGAGAAATCTGAGGCACAAGAGGTTAAACAGCCCCCCGCCAGATCACAGACCTAATTAAAGTTAGTATTTCCGTAGTTTTCTAAGAATAAAATCTGATTTCTTTACACACACAAGAGAGTTCAAGTAAAACTGGGAATATCTGAATAATATCAGTGTATTATATCAATATCTTGGTTGTGATTATAATACTACAGTTTTGCAAAATATAACCCCCCCAGGGGAAATCAGGCAATGTGAACAAGGGATTTTTCTGTATTATTTCTAACAGCTGCACATAAGCCTACAATTACCTCAATAAAATTTTGATTTTTTATGAATTCATTTTGATGAATTTTTAATGACACAAAATTCAGTATTGTTACTGAATTTTTAAAAATTCTCTTTTCATCATAAAACTAAATTTTGAACAAAATTACTGGTATGTAGAAGGAACCAAAGTAATAAATGGGAAACTTAAACATTTCAAATGAAATAAAAATACTTAAAGATAACCCTCCTTCCCCCCAGAACTGTTCAAGTCTATAGTGTATGGGCATTTTATTTTTATAAATGTAATCCAAAAGAAAATTAACAGTCCAAGACATTATATATGAATCATTATAAAAATGAATAAACAGATCTCTTAACAAAAACAAACAACATCAAAGTAGTGTCAGAAGGCAAGTAATTAAGCCAATTTAAAATTACACATTGATATGTGAATAAACAGTGTGCAGAATGTAAAGTTTCTCACTGACAAAATTTAAAGCCAAAGAAATAAATCCGGGGCACCTGGCTGGCTCAGTCAATGGAGCATGCAAATCTTGACCTCAGGGTCATGAGTTTGAGCCCCACATTGGGCACAGAGCTTACTTAAAAAAAGAAAAAAGAAAGGAAAGAAATCCTCCAGATATTTCCCACTATAAATAATCTCATTTCTTGAATTTCAAATAAAAAGCCTTTATCTACCACATGACCAAAGTCAGAAAAATGTTTTGTTTTAAATTTTAATTAAAAGGAGGAGGGGGAATGGAAAATTTAAAGTAAAAAGTGCAAAGTTACCATGGTCAGAATTTGGGAAAGCTTCTAGATAAAAATTTCTAGCCAGTATCCTTATTTACGAATAGAACTGTTTGCGTCTATGCTTTCCTTTCCTTCTATCTCCATTTGATCAGATTTAATATATGTTCATTATTTGGTTAGAGCTAAAAAGCCAAGATTCCTTAAAATAATATACACTGTTACAACTATGAAAAAATACACTTAAGTTTGAAATTAGGGTGGGGGGATGCGGTAACTGGGTGATGGGCATTAAGGAGGCCATGTGATGTGATGAGCACTGGTTTGTTATATGCAAGTGGTAAATTATTGAACACTACACCTAAAACTAATGATGTACTATATATGTTGGCTAAGTGAATAAAAAAAAATTTCTCTGAAATTCAGCAAACCAACATTTTACCTTAAAAACATGGTACATAATGGTACGTGCTGGCAAAATAGCCACTACATTTACTTCCACATACAGATAAGCTCCTGGTCCTTGCTAATCTAAAAGCCGCACAGGCTCCAGTACCTCATTTTCCCTGACCACACTGTTGCTTTCATCTGCTTCAACATCTGGCACGTGTAGGTATTCAACACATACTTATGAAATGACTGAACAAACATTTCCTTTAAGTCAAACCCTGCAGTCTATTTTTATTTTTATTTTTTAAAATTTTATTTATTTATTTGAGAGAGAGAGAATGAGAGATAGCACGAGAGGGAAGAGGGTCAGAGGGAGAAGCAGACTCCCTGCTGAGCTGGGAGCCTGATGTGGGACTCGATCCCGGGACTCCAGGATCATGACCTGAGCCGAAGGCAGTCGCTTAACCAACTGAGCCACCCAGGCGCCCCTTTTTTTTATTTTTATTTTTATTTTTAAGATTTTACTTATTTGAGAGAGAGAGAATGAGAGATAGCATGAGAGGGAAGAGGGTCAGAGGGAGAAGCAGACTCCCTGCTGAGCAGGGAGCCTGATGCAAACCCTGCAGTCTAAAAGACGGCATAGCCCTAACAGCTGAAAAGCACTTTTGGATACCTGCAACACAGTACTTAGGTTGCAATATTTTAAAAATCAAAATAGGTACTCAGGATCAAAAAGCACACTTAGATTCTAATTGAATACTGGAATTTCTCGGAAATTCTATCTTAAGTTTGAAGCTCATGGTATGGGAGGAGCCACGACAGCACGAGGGGCAATGCTGGATGTGCTGAGGGTGAATATTCTTAACTTTTGATTACCTGTAGATCCAAATCCCTGGACACAGGACATCATACAAATGTGAAGGTCATTTTCTCACCTGTGCTCAAGGACTGTAACGTTTCCTACTTAAAAGACAAATTCACTTCAAAAAAATAAGGTATAGCAAGCCAATCCAAAATAATGGACACACACACACACACACACACACACACACACACACACCCAATACGTAATTTCAACAATAAAATCGTATTTTTGAAAATGCTAATAAGGCCTTTCAAAGCGTACTCATGCCCCTTAAATACTCTGCAGACAAAAGAAAACAAGGGCGCCTGGGTGGCTCAGATGGTTAGGCGTCTGCCTTCGGCTCAGGTCATGATCCCAGGGTCCTGGGATCGAGTCCTGCATCGGGCTCCCGGCTCCTTGGGAGCCTGCTTCTCCCTCTGCCTCTCTCTCTCATGAATAAATAAAATCTTTAAAAAAAAATTTTAAAAAAAAGAAAACGGTCTACAGGGAGAGGTGACCAATCCCCTATGTCCAGTCGGACACACTGCAAAGCCGACTGACAGCAGCACCATCTACCGCCAACACGGATTCGTCTGCGCCCGTCTACTGTGCCCTAGAGCACAGGAAGACAGCGGAGGCCACGTGTGCCACACACGGAAAACAAACAGGGAGGCCACGTGTGCCACACACAGAAAACTAACAGGGACTGAAGGCTTCTGTCCACACACCAGGCAATATTCTAAGCCCTTGGCTTCGGTTAATTCACGTATTCCTCAAAACTAGCCTATGATGTAAGTACTATTATTTTTCCTGTTTACAGATGAGGAAAGTGAGGTTTGAAAGTGGTAGATACAGGATCTGAACTCAGATGGCCAAGAGCTTAACCCACTAAGCAGTATGCTATTTACTTTGAAAAAGAACATTAATTGTTATTTTACATTTTGGGAAATTTAAACAAGTCTTTGTCTTCATTATACATGAGTAATCTGAAAGATATATCAGAAAGGAAGGGAGAGGGAAGCCACAGAAAAAAAAATTTTGATCTTCAAAATTTGACAAGAAAACCTAGGGAGCAGGTGGTGTTGAGAACCAGGGGACACAGAATGTCTAGAAAAGGCAAACGAAGCAATCAAAAACATCAGGACAAAAAGGCTACCATGAAAAGTCAGCCCAGCACAGAAAGAAAAGTGTGACAGAGTGCATAATTGATGTCTATACATGATGTAAATTATCAATATGCAGCCCCTCAACATGTAACCAAATTCCAGATCAGAACCAGAGCCTCTTGTATGTTCCCCATCTTGAAGAATGTATCCATTCAAAAAGCATTCAAATGAGGCACAGGGGGTGCATTTATCCACTCAACAAATATTTAGTGAATCACATATCATGCCAAGCACTAGAGATTTTAAAAGTAAGCGAGGCATTTGCTCCCAAGCAGTTCATAGTCTGGTGGGAGAAAAAAGAAGCTTGTTTACTGAGTACGCACCTTGTACCAGACACAGTTCTAGACACTAGTGGGGAAGCCTGACTAGGACAGACACAGTCTTCGCCCCTGTGCAGACGCATGCACCGGGTATAAGCGTGGGGAAAGGAGACCTATTCTGCCTCAGCGACTAAGAGAACGCTCAGAAGAAAAGGCAAATTTGAAAGGCAACTAGGAAGGACGTGTTCCGCAGGATGACAAGATGGGAAAACTTCCCAGCAGAGGGAGAGAACACACGGTAGCAGGACCAGGAAGGAGCCAGACTCGGCAACCATCCGTGGAAGAGTCAGGTGGGGACCTGAGAGCTCTACTGCTGGCTGTGGAGCCTGTCTCAGGGCAGGATGGATGGGAAGGAGACGATAATAAACTTACAATTTAGTGCCACTGAGAGGTCTGAGGGACTAACAAATATAAGAATTATCTCTTCTCAATGCTGTTATTTAAATTAACCCAATTTATGCGAAACCTATTACACATTGTCCTTATTGTCTATTCCATGTTAGCCTATCTGAGGACCTAATTTGAGAACCACCAATGTGCTCTAAGGGATCAAGTTCAAACACAGCCTTAGCACAGGAACATTATGGTCAGAACATTTCCTCCTCCTTCTACCGACAACTTCTCTTGCACCATCCCCTTATGCTGCCTCAAGTGCATCTCTCCCTCCAACTGTCCTTCAAGCCTCAAATGCCCTGCTTCCGTCTGCCCAATCTGGCCTTCCTTCCCTCTTGACCCCAAAACACACACGTAGCAAGCACCGCTCATCTTAGGTGAGACTCCACTTAAATGTCCTCTCTCCCATGAGGGAGAAGCTCTCCCTAGAAGACCACAATCTCTCCTACTCCTCCACATGATAAACTGGTGAGTTCACCAATTTAACGAGATTGCCTTGGCACATAAGACATTCGTGGAAGTGTACTTAGCACATAGGGCTTACAACTCACCACGCAGAAAATGACTGTGTCTGCACTAGTCAAAATCATGGAGGCTACATAGGTATCCTCTACAAAGATGCTGCCTCCAAAATGTTGCAGGAGACCACTCTCCAGCACACCATGCGAGAGTGCTCGTGTGGGTATGATTATTCTGCAGGGGAGTGCATTTTAGCTTCAGGGCAGAAAATAAGAAAATGAAACTTGAACTGTATCAGCTAAAGCAG